AGGGTTGCATTTATTCACTAAGTCCCAAGCTTGGGACCGAGCAAAATGTTGCATTTAGAGAGGGATTGCACTTATGGGGGTTACATTTATGGAGGTTTTACTGTATTAAAACGTTATAAAAAACATATTATGTGTGCTGCTGGACATCTCGCCCGCTGGGACCTGAAGTTATTTATTAAGAAAAATCATGTGATCGAAAAATGCCAAAGTGTTGTAAAGATTCTAGAGAAGCCTAGCGTCTTCTCTAATACCTCTTATTTCCGTCTCAGATAAAAACGCAACACACAGACATCCTTATATTAGTGTTTTCTCCAGTTGCTTTTAACCAATGGATCAACGTCTACCGATTGTGCAGTAGAAGCATTGAACGCAATATATGATACATATAGTGGACCAGTCTTTATAGACGGAGGTTACCTTGAAGTTTCAAAAGGATTGGTTAAAATTGTTAGCAAAATGGTAAGTTGTTAGTTCTCTTAATGAATAAGATCGGATTCTTGGATCAACACGGGTTTGTGGATACTAAATTTGAATTTCCATTTAAAGCCAATCAATAGATAAGCGATCAAAGACTTCGTGCGGATGAGGCTTATGAGAATCTGATCGCTTCATAAAATACAAATATGAGAGGAACACTGCACAACATTTTGTGTACGTAAATAGAAGCAAAAAATTTTTAAATGGTTTAATAGATAATTCGACGGGATAATTCAGCTGTTTTTGCAGGTTCAAAGTTTTGACCCCCCTTCCACTTCTTTATAATAATTTGCAAATATTGGCATATGAAATAGTGTCTGCTTTAAAAAAACATGGTTTTCTCTCAATAAGTTAAAAGTCTAGTTACATATTGGTAATCAAAGACCGAACGTCAAAGTCGTGAGTATAGAAACCCAATTAAAGGTCACTAACTGCTAATATAGGATTAGCGGAACAGAGGTATTGTCAGTCTCGTTGATTGCCAATCGCTCCTCGTAGTAATTAACTCGACAACAATATACAGAATATGCCATATCATATCAACCACCTGGTGCGATTTACATGCTCAGACGCGTTTATAACCGCCACACAAACGTATTACATTTCGTCTAGAGCGCACTCCATAATGGAAAAACACATTATTGTCATTACCTTCTGTCTTTACGTCATTGTCCGTATCAGAGCTTATGCGAATTGCTCTAAGAGAACATGCGCTTGCCACAATCCTCCTTGTATTTCTGGTAGGCATTTGACATATATTAAAAATAATATGCGGGATAATCTATGGTAATTTGGTATCGCATTTGGAGTTTTGTGGGATGGATACTTGTAGATGCTCTCTACCTTGCGTTTGTTTTTCTTTGACATCTAATGTAATAATAGAATTTTCCAACAGCGTTTAGACGTTTGCTAGCACGACTATTTTTACCGATCATCATATTAAGCAATTTTTCTTTTTTCTTCTGTTCGGTTATCTATATCTTTCACTCTTCAGTAATACTTATGGCGAACGACCCGACGTATGAAAACGATTACTTTATATCTTCAATGATTTATTAAACAGTTCTGATTTTAAATATGGATCTGTATCCCAATTTCTAAAGTGCACTTTTGTGCATTGGAATAAGACAATCCACATTAAACTTTTCCGTCAATTGTCGCCACACCAGTCTTCTGTCATCCTCATTAAATAAACGAAAATATGATTTCACTCTATATAATTTTTTTCATTCATTTTTTTCTCCTTAGCCCAATCCAATCCAATCTTTTTGTTTTTTTGTTTTTTTTTTGTTTTGTTTTGTTTTTGTTTTGGTTTTTTTTTTCATTCACATAAGGTTTTCTAGTACAAAAGTAGCCAGATTGATGGGTTCCCTTTTAATAGTTTTTTTCAGAAACATTTATTGAAGTGGAATCAGCAAAACTATTCTTAATTTCTAATAATGATATTTGAAGATGAGTAGAAAGTTAGCAAATTAGTTTAATGTAACTTGACATAGATTGAGAATTCTACCTGAAAGCGCCATTTTCCTATCCTTTTTGATAGTTCCCAGTAAAGTGCGTTTGTTTCTCCCTGACACTGGGAGGTATTCAGTTCTTTTTTTTAGAAGTCTATTAAACGCAGATACAAAGTATGCATAGTACAAATTTTCGTGTTGGATAATATCATGTTGCGCGCAAATCTCGATTCAAAGAAGCCTATTTTGATATAATATTAACAAAGGAATGAGTAAACAATATTATCAGAATCACAGACCAATGAAGGACGTGCAACCACCCGTCCGGATGTCACGCTTGTTTGATGACTTCACATCAACGTCCCATGTACCTATTCACCACAGCCGCCTGTGCGCGCCGTGAGCACAGACGACCCTTTGGAGCGGATATCGAACGTTCACAGCAAGTAAATCATTTAACGATCAGGCCCCAACTACTTTCGTGTGTATCCTATTCACCACAAAAGCTCACGCTTTTTTTGTCGGTAACGGTTTTTGATTAATTTGCATTCCGCGTGCTTCCAAAAACTACGATTTACACCTAGTGGCAGCGTCCCTTCAGATACACACATACTAAGTAACCCTCACGACAAACAATCTACAAGTGTGGTCACGGAGAACTTTCAGATTATCCGGCTTTTATACCTAGTGGCAGCGTACCTTCGGATACAGACCCTCAACAGATTTGCCCAGTAAGAATTCTTGCCTCGAAAACACTCTCGCGTCAGTGTGGGCCTTTTTGTTTACTCGAGCTTTGATGTTTCGGTTTGAGTAAACAATCCTAGTTAATAACAAATAATATAAATAGTTAATGTATATGCAATTTGTTCTCGTAAGGTACTGCAATGGGTAGTGTAATTGTTTACATGTTACTGATAGCCAAGACAGTTGGTATTTGCGTAAACTCTTGGTAGTAGCAAGTCGTATTTCAGCATATAAGGGAAACTTTAGTGGTCCGCTAACAGATTTCGCATTTCCCTCCCGCTTTACCCCTAGCGTATATGTATATCATACTTACAGGATCTTCTTTCACTCATCTCTCCCAAAACGGTTGCTGTAAAACGAAGTGGTAATAATTAAAAAGTAGTTCGCAAATAGAACTCTATTACTATTAGTATGGCCATACCAGCATCTAGTTATAACCCGAAGAAACTATGCGCAATGTGGGAAGAAACTTTTACTTTTTACATACTAACAACGGGGCCAGACACTGTCCTGGCGTACACGATGGTGGTGGCGGCAACGTTTCTTGCGATGTTAGCGGCGGCGTTTAATGTTGTTGCAGTGGCCTCTTTTCTGCTGCTACTTCTTGTTTGTATCGGCAGTTAGTGGTTGCTGTTTGCGTCGCGCGCGCGCGTTTTTTTTTTCTTGCACGTGGAATACCAGTCAAATTAGTCCGTTTGTGTTACTATATATAATTGACGATGATTTGATGAATGGTCACATAATATGCTATTATAATAAGTGTTATATTTGAAGAATCAAGTCAACCGGTATATCGAAATTCAAATTGTACATAATATTCTGTGTCAATTTGCACACACGTTTGTAACAGTTACGTTTAACAAACATGTAAATTATAAGAGCATTGGATTCTTGGTTGTTGAGTCAGTGATGATTGATGATGAAAATTGATTTCGCGTATTTGAAGAATCAAGCCAACCTTGGGATGAACAATCATTTGGAGTGACAAATCCCGGTTTTTTTTTATTCGAAAATGATGGTCAGCAATGGGTTTGGCGTAGTAATAACTAAACGAAATCATGCGTTTCATCAAGTTGCTCATATAAAACTTTTCAACTCGTTTGTTAGTAAAACAAACACGTATTAATACTGGATTCTGGCGAGTATATAACAATATATAGTTACAAAAACTCAAACTTTAGCAATTTTTACATTTCCGACTATCATTCAATGAAATCGCAACCAAATCGTCTCAAAATTTAAATTTACATATTTTAAAGTATGGCAATGGTTTTTACTTAGTAATACGAGGACACGTTGCAATTAACTTCTTTGAGTTACATTATAACGAAAGTTTTAACGTAAATTTTTATCTTTGACGTAAGCCTTTCTTTTTCACTCAAAAGTTGCTCAAAAGTTGTAAAACGTATGCAAGTGAGTTTACTTATTGCACCATGGCCGGTTGTGTTAGCAAAGAATTTAGTTTACATATGGGCTACTTTCGATCGGCGAAATCTCGTGGTGATCGGTCATTTCTGTACATATTAAGATTAGTAGTTAATATGTGCTACGTTCATATGCCAGGTATTCTCAAAGCTCCAGGTATTATCGATTTCGTGTATTACATGGTTATAAAAGAATCTGAATTCTCATACTAAACAGCTCACATGGACTCTGAAAGAAATGATAGAATCTGCCTCACTAACAAGCATCGAATAGAAACTGTATAAATTTACCCAATGGCAGCCTTCGAATAAACAATTGTACTTTCTGGTTCATTTCATGACTTGGCAACCCAATCTTTGTCAGGTTAAATTAAGTCTAATTAAAAATTTAATACTATACTTAATATTTAGCACGTTCAAACTTTCTGTTTTAACCCAAAGTAAATTATTTATCGATTGAATAATAACATCTGGGAATTGGCCGTAACAGATGATCTTCAGGGATGGGTATAAATGCGCCAATTAGTGCTACACAAAAGTGCTTCAGTTATTTAAATGACGGGTGGAAGCATGACATTTTCGTTATTGTATAAGTGCTTTTAACAATTATCGGGCAAAAAAAATTAAGTCAACTTTTCTGCCGATTGTTTTATCTGAACATTCAGCTGCAGGGAATGTGTGTGACCAATAAAGGACAGTTGCAGGGAACACAAAATCAATTATTATCAGTTATAATTATGGGATGATGGAGGCTGAACTCCGGATGGGACGATAATGACAATATAGTATATTTGTATATGGGTTGTATTGAATGTGTGTGAAATGTGTGGAATATGGTGTGCATATAAGCATATAGGCGTAAAAAAAGGCCCACAAAATAAATATGGTGTGTTTAACGATTGTATCGATTAAAAGTACACATAGGTGTCATCAGTCTTTACATGTAAGATAATCACCAATCGCAGCAGGTTATCATTTGTCTTTTAATAAATCATCCTGGTTGATGATTCAAGAAAAGAACTAATCGGTTAATATTACGTCATCGTAAAGATCTATCTAGTGGGTGCTCTCACTTGGCAAGGGGAAGTAGGTGCTCATAAGCTCTGCAAATGAAAGTGGAAAGATTTCTTTACTGTTTGATAAATTATACATGTCATGTAATAAGATTGTAATAGAAACAATATAAATAGCACGATAAACCGAAAATGTCTGTTTGTCACCAACAATTATCTCCCTTATGTTGGGGAAGCAAATTACTTCCCCTCTACCTAGCAACTCTTCGATGATAAGGGAATAGCTGACGAGAGCACTCATGGTATTAGAGGTTTTCAACACTAATTGATTCTTGTCCGATAGCAGAGGAAATCAACAAAGTTTTCGAGTTTATTTAGGCGACATGGGTGACCCCTGATTTACTGTGCTGTTTGAGCTTTTGTGTGAGACTTGTACTTGTGGATACGGTTTATCTTTGTCTTTTGCCTGCTATAATTCCCCACTTGCGTGTCACTAGATAAATAAACTTGTTGAGAAGTAACTCTCCCTTCTCGAACTTGATAATAAGGAACAGTTATTTGTCCGTAATCGTTTATTTTAGCTTGAATTCAATAATACCTTTTCATGGTGTTTAATGGTTGGATAAAAAGGGGCAATCACCATTATTTTATCATTATTCTTGATTATGTTCCCGAGAATGTTCGGATTATCGTCTATTACTACCTCACAATCAGGAACATTTTTGATAATTAATTCCCCCTTAGTTTGACCTTGGCCCTCGCTCTCAAAGTGTCCATCAATAAAATTACAAAGATCGATTGCTTTGGTTTACTCTTTAAAGTTCAATAGCTAAATAAATTTGATGTGTTCCAACATCCGTCTATCTAATCTATCTAATGCAACTAAAGAAACGCTTAATAATGTCCACAATATTAATGTTATCACTGCATTTTGGGTACAATGCCTTATGGAATTATACTGTCTTGGTTTTATGATGGTTCGCGGTTTTACTTGCTTTTGCTGTTATGTTTAATAATCGAGTAAAAAATATGGTTCTAACGAAATAATGAGTTTGCTTACAGTAAATTTATTCTTTGGTCGATATAAGCAAGCACAACGTGTTTGTTTTACATTTTTGTGGCAAGGTGAAGTGTTTACATTTTTATTTTGTGCGTGAGAGATGGATTCCGATTTCAATTCATTTGAATAGTTACACAACTTAGCAGCTTCTGAGAAGGTGGGTCTGTAAAATGTGTCAAATTTGTAATTATCGGTATGTTTTTTTTGTTAGTTTTTATGTGTGTTTTTTTCCATTATAACTTACAACACAACAATATATTTGGCCTTCGTCATTATGTAAGTTTTTTTTCCCACAACTTACCACAAGATATAGATTTCACTACTACAACAATATATTTTCTTTTATTTTTCGTCCTTATGCGTGATTTTATATAAATAATTGACATTTACTTTTAGATCAATTTTTTTAAACGAGACAACCATTTTGTCTTGAAAAACTTTTTCACAAATTGTGTTTCCTACTCTATTACGCCACCAAGTTATCACACTACTCGGAATTTGTCCAATTTGCTATCACTTTTTCGGGGAAAACAGTGCTCAAGCGAATTTAACAATGTCGGATGGCATAGCATTACTCATCTTTAATCTGGTAGTCGGAACCTTCACTATGTGCCAGGCCCTTATCAGTATTTACAAAATTTTCAGAAGACAGACGCCTGTTTTGACTGATATTGGTCAAAGAAATAGAGTGACAATAATAATGACGGCTCAATCAAAAGAAAATGATCTGATTAGACATATTGATAAAGGGACCAACATTGAACAAAGTTTGACTGCAAACGTACCGGTACAGAATGCTGATAATAGAAACGATTTAAACGATGAGGTTGTAGTGTCTATTGATACCATGGACGAGACGTATGTATTTACTATCGCTGATTATCCACTGCTTTGTTAAATTTAAATTTTAATTACAGTCTTGAAAGCGCCACTTAAAGGAATTTAGACGCAATAGTTTCGATGTTGTCTGAGTTTGGGATCTGCCTCAGTGGATCAATCCAGAACTGAGACAGGTCCCCAACTGAGGTACAACATCAATAAGGCTTAAGATCGACGCATTTTATTATTTATTTATTTATTTATTTGCACGCATATTAAATGTATATTTATGGTTGCTTCATAGAACTTTACAAAGATTACTCGAAACTCTTTTTTCATTAACAATTGCGCATATTCTGTTGACATTAGTATGGTAACCAATCTCACGCCAACGTTCTCATATTTCAGCAGGCATAAGTCGTCCGACAATGAAATTTTCTGCTGTTGGAAGAAGGACATTACGAATGCTGATGACAAAGGAGTTCTAAAGAAAATTATAATTTGTTAATATTTTATCGTATTCAATAAAAACTATACTAACATAACCTTTAGAGAGAAAATGTATTGATTATCATTAAACATCTTGAACACATAATCGTTTACGACTTTTGGATGGCTTTTCTGGTATAGTCAGCATTGTCGTTTGTTAGTATCAATTACCATCTTTCATGAACAACTTCACATAATCAGTGTGATAAGTCTTGAGTACCCGCTACTCAGCCATCTGAGCATCTGTAAGCTGTAGTGGAGGTTCAAACCTTAAATCTTGCCGTGTGCGAACGAACGTTGCTACGTATATGCCGTCAACAACTTCAGATGGACCAAAAAAAAGATTGTACACCCTTGCTTCCGTCTACAAAAAGTCAAGTTAACAATGGTAATATTTGTGAAATCTTTAACAAGTTTATTCGTAATAGTAACCAACCGTTAATGTTAATCATGCTTATTAGTAATCTATAACTGTTGCATAGTGCCATAAATAATAAGGAAAACAACAATGTTGATCAAATCACATGTCAAGACAATGTATTCGTTATTTCGGTATACAGTTTGGGAGCTTGTATTCCAAGAACATAGTAATAGATGAACGGAAGCAACTCTATGGCAAGGTAGATTGACAACAGCCAACTCATCTATTCCTCAAGCCTCTGAGAGATAAACATTAAACCGACTTTGCTTCTGCCAACAATTCCACTGACGCTGATTCGCATGCTTTATTTTCTTATATAGACCCAACTCTACCCTAAACCATCGTGAGACGAGATCCGCATTATTCACTGGATCCGAGTCGAGAGAAAAGTACTCGCCAGAAGTCACACAACTAGATCTGGAGAGTCAGAATGATGAAAAGATCGAGGGGTTGACCAGCAAAGTGCGATTATTAAAAGAGGTCAGTTTTTGTTGGAAGACTAGTATGGAGGAGTGATTCGAGTGATGGTGAAATGGAATACAAAGTCGAATGGCAAGGGTTTTATTGTCAGTTAAACTGCCGTCGCTCATTGTGCTTATACTAAGAAGTTTTATTTGTTTTTGCATTGCCATATTTTTGCTGAATTAGATAAGTTTAAACATCGGTGAGGCCGCGAAAGAATCAATAAGACTGTCAGATGGCATGGTTAGTAACGCCTTTCTCCAAACTTGCCGCTGAATCTGAGCTTCTTATCCTAACCTCCACCCATTTCAACCCATATAGGCTACTGATTTCTCTCAAACACGCACCTTGATGGGCGGGGCCGCCTCTCGGCTAAAAATTCTATCAAGTACACAAAGTGGACAATTTACTTTGTTTTGGATTTTTATAATTATTGTTACTTTTATTTTCATTTTTTACTTCCTTATAAAGTGATTTCGAATTACTTGTGGTGGAGAGAGATGGATTGCTGCATTTAATGTGATAAGAGTGAAAAGATGTAGGATTTACTGAGTATTATTAATGGACAGCTTCGAGCATGCTCTAATGTAGAAGATAATGGAGGTGATGGTGGACATTCTCGATCAAACCTTTTTAGAACATTTAACACATAGAATAAATAATATCGCATCGTAGACTTTGAGGTGGATTTATAATTGATGGTCAACACATGGAACCAAGAGTAGATGGCGACGAGATTTATTGGATTTTGACAAGGTTCATATTTGTTGCTTGCTTTATCTGCATGACGCACAAAGAAACCAAGCAAATTAAAACAACCGACAATAATTCACTAATATTTGAATGTCCCCATTGGATCCTCTCTTGGTGTATATACAGATACGTCATTCTCCGTTCCAATATCCAAACTGCTCCCACTTCCACGTCTGCTTTCGTGCATCTCTTTATTATTGTTGTTGTTATTGTTATTAGTATTATGATTATTGCTATTACTGTTACTATTATTACTACTGTTGTCGTGGGTGCTCCCATTGCTGATGTGATCGTGATCGCAGTGTTCTATTAAATATCGACCCAAGAATTCACATGGATTGGGAGGACTACAAAATCAGAGTAACAGTAAGAAACACGAAAGCAAAACCGTAACAACCGAAAAAGAATATCTAATCACTGCTTTGAAGCATCATGCTTACCGATCTCTAATAAGAAGTTTCATCCCCTCTAACAAATTCTTAATCACTGTCTTGTTTAAATATTCGCGCACTGGAACAACTGAATCCGGATGCGCGGAATTGGCCCTTCTGATTTCTTCTCTTTCATCTTTCTCCTCGTCTTCTCTGGTCAATGGTGATCTCGAGTCTAAATTCAAAATGTCCTATAAAACATGTAACAAAGGTCAACCGACGCAAAACATTGGAAAGCAGTCAAGTGTGTTAACGAAAGATCACCTGAATACTCCGCACGGAGCCATTTGTCTTTGAGTTCCTGTCCGGTGCCGGCGAGGAGGTTGTAGAGGATGTCGGTGTTGCATGATCGAGGTCCATTGACGTTATATATTGCTGGAACGGTTTAAAAAGGACAACGTATATTAATATGAACTTATATATATTGGTTGATCCAAAAGTTCATGTTGTGTAACGTCGAGATATAAAATTTGTCTTTTTTCTGTTAGGCGCGAAAGCATAATTCATTACTTAATTCTCAATCATTCAGACCCGGGATACTACAATATAAAGGAATTTATATGTCCACACAAGATACTGTGGATAGTTCTCCGCGTGCAGACTCTAGCCCTTTGCGTCCAGATTCTAGGTATCGGTCTATTGCATTCTCCGAATTACACAATAAATGCTAGCGCAACATTGACATTGGTGACATTTGTGTCTGGGGGGGAAAAAAAGAGCCGAGTCGACAAGTTTTGACATACCGGACGGATATAGTGAAATCAAGCGTATCGAATCATCGCCATTTGATTACGAGGAACTTGCAAAGGATAAGAAACAATTATGGTTGATTCGCATTCCTAGTGGGGTAAGTGGTTTGCCAGATTGCAATTTTTTAACGATATATATACATTAGATGCAGTCACTTAATGAAATACATGGCTCTGCCTCTTTCTGACATCCTCCAACTTTTCAAAAATCTTTATACAGACCATCTCATCCTCATCTCTGGATCAACTGTCCATAAGCCTCCCAGAAATATCAAAGACGGGAAACCGCCTGGCTACGATAGTAGACGAGTCAAACCAAGAATACTCACTCCTTGATCTGGCAAAAGTTGATGATGATGCCAACGTCGATGGTAATAACGAACAACCATCCGATCCGGCTATATTCGGTTCTGAAGAGATGAGCTCGTTTAAGCTATTAGTACCGAAAAAGGACAACAACGGGAAGTTGGTTGCAGGTATATATGGTTTTGATTTTAATCTCGTAAAGAAGAAAATTTTTTCTCTCATTTTTTTTTTCTGACTTTCCACTGATATACATATTTTTACAGCACCGAAACCATTTTCAAGGTTTCTTTCGCTATCACTTGCCCCTCTTTCCCTAGATTACACAAAACAAGCCGAGATTGCTCGTGATGCTCACCAAAAGACAATTCTTCAACCGGAAAAGCTTTCGTATCAGTTCAAACCATATGGACATAACACGGGCGAGTCGGAACAAGAAAAGTGGGTTGATACTCCGTACAAACAAGCCGTCATAGCCAGAGTTAAAGAAATGAGTCGTGCGAACGATGAAAAATGGAAACAAAGAGATCAAAAATTGTTGGAATTAAAAGACAAGGATGAAGAACGGATAAAGAGTATGTAGTATAGGGCTAGAAAATAGACACTGTTGTGTTGCGAAGTATTGATTAGAAGAAAGAAAGGATATTCTTTATTTTCTAATGATAACTATAAAAAATATTGGGTTTAGGGAGAGAACAACGGGCAAAATGGGCTACTGCCAAGAATGCGAGCGGTCGCTATGCTTTCCATGCGACAGCTGGTAACGAAATCGCTGGACCATACTTGACTCAAGTAAGAAAGGACACGGCTGGAAAGCGTAAGTAGACACTATGGAATAGAATAACACGAAGATTTTAGTGCGTGTCGGCGTCTCGTTTTCACGACAAAAATCTGCTCTGTATATTTATAGTGCAATCGCGGAAAGCTCAGTGGAACGAAATGGACGATGTGGGAAACGAATTCGGTATCTCTGATGCGAATGAAGACTTTGAGAAGTTTCTTGCGCCTGGAGAGAAATTCGAAGATTATGATACCAATGGTGAGAATATTTACTTGCTATTTGACGAGTGTTTGTCCCAATTTATGTAGCAATAGTATTACAAATTAACGATACGTGACAATCAATTACGCTCTTGCGTTAGTAAATTCTATCGGCATGATTCAAAAGGAAAAAGTGGATGATCTTGGCGGTTAGTGTGCATTTTTGTGATGTAGCTTTTTATTAATATTATCATAACACTAATTTTTATTGCGCGTGCAGCTGGTCTCGTTGATAATATAAAGGAAAAGGAGGAAGGCGATCAGCCTGAGAAAGTAAAGGGTAGAAAACGGAAGAAAGTTGATAATAATGGTCAGTATCATCCTATTAATTCGTTTGAAGATGGTTCATTTGAGAATCCAAAGAAGAAAATAAAGACGGTCGACAAGTCCAAAAAAGCAAAGGATGATAAGGGCATCAAACTTGAAGGCAATGGTTAGTAGTGTAGAATGTGCTGTCGGCTGGTATATTATTGAAACTAACGATATTATATTGCATGCAGACGGCTT